AGCTAGCTAATGTTGTCGCTGCTGTCAAGAGTGATCTTGGTGGTTAATGCCTGCCTGCCTGGCTGGCTGACTGGCCTGCTCGTGTATCTAACAAAAATCTTTGTTACCATGGCTTTGCTTTGTTTTCGTTTTGTGTTGTAGTGTGGTGTGGTGTCACAGTGATCCATTAGGTGACGGCAAAACTTACTAGTTTTTTTGTTGGTTGCCTCTACTATTTGTGTATGATGAGGCTGATAATTGTGTACATATGTATGTGGTTTGTAATATTATACAATATATATTTAAAAAAATTGTCTTTTCCATTTCGTGTTATTAAAATAGGTTGTAATTAATTTATTTGCATCCTCAAATATCCAAATTACAATGTATTGAGGCGGCGGTCGGCATTGCTTTGTTTTGCTATTTCGTTTTTCTTTTTTCTTCTTCTTCTTCCGTCATAGTCACCCACCAGTTTCATGTCTTTGCCGTTTTTTGTATGCAAAAATCCAAGAGTTTTAGTTGAATATCTCATTTTCTTTGTTTTTCCACAACACCAACGTATGAACGTTGTGTGAGAATTTTGTAAATTCATTCACCTCCACATTACTTTATTTTAACTCTTCGTGTAAATACAAAAACCCAGCACAGAAACTTGATTTCAGCATTTTTTTTTTTTGTAATAACTAATTTCGTTGTATTTCTTGATCTTTAAACCGCAGTGAAAGTCTCTTTTAGGTTTATCTTCTTTTTTTCTGTTAATAAAACAAAAATTAAATTAATATATACCACTAGTTTTTTTTTCTTCCTTATTTTTTTATTTTTAATTTTTTTTTCTTATTTCCTGTAGTGCTCTTTGGGTTTTCAATCAACACAATATTCTTTTTTTTCTTCTTTTGTTCAAAAACTTTGCTTTAATTGTTTTGTTGTTTTTTTTATTTTACTCCACACTTCATTGATATGTTTTCATCAGTTTGTTGTTATACATTTCTTGTTAGCATTTCATATTTTCCAATTACCCGCTTTATATCGAACTAAAAATTCAAAACCCGGCTTTAAGTTGTTAACTCTTTAACGCTCCTGTCAAGACTGAATACCCAAGCCACAGGTGTGCTCTTTTTTCCCCGCAACTTCACTGGCTGCTGTTGTTGTGTAGTTGTTGGTTGTCAAGAAATTCTTAACCTGGCTTAAAGTCATCTGGGTAGTGGTGGTGTAAGTCATAGTCCATTATTACAAATACACTGCTAACCAAGGTAGATATACAAGGTAGCCGCATCGGCGAATTGGGAACATGATATGTCAAAATTGTTTACCAGGCGAATAATACTAATTTCGCCGTGACATAAAAAACTCGAAGCAAATTAAATTCAACCAATCAGAATTAAACATTTTGAAAAAAGAAAAATATTTGTTTACTTTTTGAAAATTGAAAATTTTTAAAATAAATGAATTTTAAAATATCAAAATGATTTTTGATAGAAAGATACATCAAAGTGCGCTTAAATGTGATAATGTTGATGACATCGGATGTAGTGAGAGATAACAAGATTTAAGCTATTCTTTACGTAGTTTTGTCATGCCCTCACATGAAATTTTTGAAAACAATGTATAAAGAAGACAAAAAGGTCCTATCGAACCAAATCTTCTTTTCGATCCCAAGGTCTTGTATTTGATTCCATGGTCTTCTTAAAGAAATACCATCTCCATAGCCTACCGCTATGCCTTTTTATCCTTTTTTTATTCTTTATTTTCAAATGTATTTCAATTTTTAAATTTTTGTTTGGAAATGGGTTTGAAAAAAAAAAAAAATCAAAAACAACAACAAATTGTTATGACATATAATGTTACCATCAGCTGGTTTGATACGGTTACCTTCTTAATATACCTTGCTGCTAACGAACGAAATAAAATTAAGAGAGTAAGCAACAAGAGCGATAGAGAGAGTTTAAGTAAAGAGAAATTCATATACGGAATGCTATGATTTCTCTGACCTTTTATTGTATGAAAAGTAATTTACAGATGGATACATTAGGGTGGTTTATTATTCAGTCTAGTATATTCGGTAAATTAATGGTATTTTTGTGCTGGGATGGGAAATCTAAAACACTTTAGTCACAATTGTACAAATAATGTTGATAAAAATTAAAATTAAAAATTAAAGATTTTGTCAAGTTGTTAACTAAGTTTTGTTATTATTTAAACAAAAAATTAAAATGGTTTTTAATAGTAAAATGTCAATAAACAGGTTGTGGCAGAAGCAATCGACAATTTTGGATTTAAATCCCCCAAGCTGTAAATTTTTTTACGTTTTCACACAATTAGGTCAAAATTGAAAGCATTTTGACAGCTCGGGGGAAATAATCTGTTCTTTATATATATTCTTTATATATCATCATGGCCTTATCTGTTTACTCGATATTTAGTAAGAATTGTTATCAAAAGTTACTGGATGTTTGTTTACTCCAAAGTTCAGTAAAAGAGAGCTAGTTTGACAGTTTCAATGTAGAACCTACTGAATGTTACTGGGTACGTTTGTTCTAGTAAGATTTATCCAGCACAATTCGATGTATTTCAATCAGCCGTTAAATGAAATTTTGACTAAAGTCAAATTGAATGAATTTTATTCCTTAATAATTTAAAAAGAAAATTCTTCCTAAAATTAGTAAAAAGGAAACATTTCAAAATCGCTCTTAGAGTACAAAATAATTTGAAAAGTTCGTGAACATAACAGTCAATCAGAAGTAGGCATTCCTGTTTACCATTTTTAGTCGACCAAATTTCTCGAGTAAAAAGTTTACAAAGAGAACGCCATTTTGTTTTGTGCTTTCTGTTTTACCAGTTTTGTGGTTTCAGGAACGGTTTTCGAGTAAAAAGATGAAAAACTTGAAAATTGGTAGATTCTTTTGGGTTCTGGAACGGAACTATGATGTGTATTTACTATATCTTAAAAATATATTAAGGATAATTGCACTGGCGTTGAAATGATTGTAATAGCACTTTAACAAAAATATAGATTTTTTATCGATTAACTAAATACATTTACACCCTAAATGTTTACACATATATTATTCATGCTAAATACGGAACTGATGTTTGTTAGTATACATACAAAATTGGCCAAATTTGCTGCAAAAATATTTGTTTGCAATTTACCATGAAACGAATTTAACTAAATGGAAATGTTTTTGCAATGCTGTATCGTTTGGAAATGATAAAATCAACGAAAAACCTAAAAATACTATAAATTTTGTTATTTAATTTTTGTATTGGGTAATGTTTTAAAAACACAATTCACAATTTACAAATTTTGAGAGAGAGAAACTTTTCAACACAAAATCCCGATAAGTATAAAACCACGCTTTCTCGAGTAAAAAGTTTACAAAGAGAACGCCATTTTGTTTTGTGCTCTCTGTTTTACCAGCTTCGTGGGTTCAGGAAAATATTTTTTTGTACTTCATAGTTCAGGAAAATATATTAAGGTTAATTGCACTGGCGTTGAAATAATTGTAATAGCACCTTTATGACACGTTTAGACTACTAAATCCGCTTGATCTCAAACGTCAATTCCATTGCGTATACGTCACGTTGACGTATATGCTATGGAATTGACATTTGAGATCAAGTGGATTTCGTACATCTATACGTACTTCTATGGATGAAACATTTCGCGGTATTCCTACTGGATTTTAGGAAGAAATCATAACCTTTCAATAATTTTTCGCGTTCTAGTTATTTGTTGAAAAAATTTAATATTATTACAACCACTTATTGCGTATGTTTTCTTTGTGTTTGACGGAGGAAGCCACACCTACATATGGTCTGTTCCCGTACTGCAAGAATCTACTACTTTTTACTACGATAACGAATTTTCCTTTATGATATCGAAGAAAATAGTAAAATCGAGTTGATTCTTGCTGTACGGGAACAGACCAATAGTTGAATTTTTTTAAACTTATATTATTGTAACAAGCTATCCACATATTTGCTTTTTTGTTATTTACCTCAAATTGTCCTACCTTCTGTTATGGTAAAAACTAGTACCTAGGATCAATTATAAGTTCGAATGATAAAGGCATCAATCTAAATCGATTAGATTTGTTGTCAATCGATGTAATAAATTCTACCTATTTAGACTAATATTAACATGGTATAAATTTGATTTGTCGGCAGTTATTAGTTTATGTCATGGTACAATTATAAAAGGTAACAACAAACCCCAGCTGATTTGATTCCAACGTAATACTAGTGTCTGACATATGGTAACATATGTCGGAAGAAGAAGAAGTAATACTAGTGTCAATATGAATTTGACAAATTATGTTTTTAAAAATCGCCCAACAAGAAAATAGGGAACGCATACAATTCGAAATTGTTCTTTATTAAATGTCCTCCCGCATTCAATTTACTCAATATGCCTGCTGGGAAAGTTTGAGGAGGCAGATCTTTCATCATTGGAATAACTCGCAATTCGCAGCATTTTCATATGTGTTACACATATTAGTGGCAATGGCTCAATTACAGGAAAGATGTGGAAGCGATAGACATATAAATTTGATCGATTATCATTCATGTTTTTAAATTTTATTTTGAGGATTCGAAAATATTACGTTTTCAAAATAAATATAAATTGTTGATAGTTTGTTTGTTTGTTTACATTTTTCTGTCAAATGACGTTGACACTAGTGTAATTTACAACAACAAATTTCCATGTGATTGTTGTATCGTTTGTTGTACAACAACACTTGCCGTTACCTTATATTATTATACCATGATGACATACATGATCTGTTACCTACAATAAGACAAAATTATAATTTGTAGTTGTACATGTAAACTTGTTTTATTATACAATGATTTAAACTATCGAAATTGATGCTAGACAAACAAAACACACCTCAACGAACATCTAATGGAGCGTATAGCTACGTCCGCATTTAGTTAGAGTGCGGCATTTTCTCTCACACAGGGTTGTATTTCGCCATGTTTCTCAATGAATTTTATTTTAGTTTACGACAGATAAAAGCGACAACAATCAAGACAATTTATTTTTAGCTAAAAAAATAGAATAAAACACTAGAAAATTGTTCAAAATGCCCGTCCTCGATGTTGCTAATATGAAGGTAAGTTGTTTTCATTGAATTCGTTAATAATTTTACAGTAAAGAATGCGCTTAGAAATGCAAAACATACATGGCATTCCAAGCTGCAAATAAACTGTATTAACAAATATATGTAAATATATACATACATAATAATTTATTAAAAAACTATCTTCTTCTATTGTTATAGGTAGCCGATTTGAAGCGTGAGTTAAAGGATAGAGGACTCTCCGTTGCGGGAAACAAAAATGAATTGCAAGACCGCTTGCAGGCTGCCTTGGATGGCGAACCATTGCTAGAAGACTCTTCAATTGCGGGTGAAGACATATTAGACGAGGAAGCTGTCTTATCTGATGAGGAAAAGATATTGGCTGGCGATGAGAATGAACTTCTCAAGAGCCCAACAACAACACCCACCACCATTCTGCCTACATCAAAGGGAACATCAGATAACAATGATTCTGTATTGACCGAGGACGAGATATTGGAATCACCAACGGCCACAGCTAAGAAAGTCGTATTGAAACGTAAAATATCAGTTAACAATAGTGGCTCAACCAATGAATCTTCGAACACTACCAAAGAGAATACAGAACCCACCCAGGCGAAAACAGCAAAAGTGAGTGAACATACTCCCATAACGGTGGGAAATTCTGGCGCTTCTGCTACAGCAGCATCTGGTACTGGTGCAACTAAAAAGTTTTCGGAAATGACATTACAAGAACGTTTGGAATTACGAGCTAAGAAATTTGGACTTAGCACCGCTAGTACAGCAACAACACCAGCTGTCACTACCACAAATTCGGTTGCCTCAAATAAGTTGATTTCACAAGCACCCGTTGTAAGCAGTGAAAAACAAGTGGAACTGCTGAAAAAACGTGCCGAACGTTTTGGTTGTGTTACATCGACAAATCTGGCCAAATTGGATGCGGAAGAACGAAGACTAAAACGTCTCCAGAGATTCGGTGGTGAAGTAACGGCAAAAAATAACGCAACTACAAATGCCACGGCAACCACTGCCGATTCAAGTGAGTGGGCAGAAAAGGCTAAGAAACGTTTAGAGCGTTTTGGTGGCTCTACAACAGCAACGTCCACGACGTCGACGGCAACGCCAGTGACAACTGCAACGACGACCACAAAACCCGTTGCAGCAGCTGCTAGTAATTAATTCTGTATTTTCTTTTTTATTTTTAAGAGTTATTTTCATCTCTTTCAAATACTTTTTTGGAATCATAATAAGAACAACAGCTCATTTGGTACAATTTATAAGAAATGTTCAATTGGGGGTGTTCTTCTCAACATCACTAACCAAATTGAAATAAAAAACCGATATTAAAACAAATTTCTATAAATTCAAATAATATACCACCACCACCAACACATATAGCAATAAAATTACAATAACGAAAATTTTCTAATGAAAAAATATATTTATTAGTTCGCTTTATTTTATCTTAAGATCCCTAAATACCGAAAATTAAAACAACTTTTGGTAGGAGAATTGTCTACCCAAAGGAACCCAAAATAAAAAATGGGTTCGAAATTTGAATGTTGGTGGAGAAGTATTCCTAATTTTTTGTAAGTAGATTTTTTACCCAATCAGAATCCAAAAAACAGCCAATTGCCCAAAAACACTGAAAATTGTGGGTACCGTTATATGAATCTATTCCTAAAGGCACACCAAGTTTTAGGTATAAATGTTCAAAAATATCGGATTCGATTCTAAAATCCCCAAAATACAAAAAACTAAAGGGCACCGTTATATATGTGGCTATTTTTGCTAGGAATATTGGATTAAAAAGGATGTTGAAAATATTTACGGTACTGTTATATAGGACAAATGCGGCTTCAGACCTGGCAAATCCACCATTGACCAGATTTTCACTTTGCCCCAAATCCTGGAAAAAGACCACGAAAAACACATCAACATATTCCACTTATTTGTCGACTATAAAGCCGCATTCGACGGCCCTATCCGTTCAGAGGTGTTTAAAGCCATATCTGCGTTTGGCATTCCTGCAAAATTAATTTGGCTTCGCAGGATAACTTTAACTGACACAAGATCAGCAGTTAAAGTCGGAAAGGACCTCTCGGAGCCCTTTAATACCGAACGAGGCTCTTGGAGTGTTTGAGAGAAAAGTTCTCCGAAAGAGCTATGGGCTGATCTGCGTTGACGGTGAATGGTTCACGCAGAATGGGAATGGTTCACGAATAAGATGGAAGGATCAAGTGGAAGACAACATTGTCACATTTGAAATACCATATTCAAATTGGAAAAACTGCGCAAAAGACCGACGCGCCTGGATTTTTTTTCTTAAGTTCGGCTTATGGAACGAAAGTTATGTCACAAGCCAGCTAAGTAAGTTATATGGGATTATACGTGCGTTTCCCACATTCAAAATATCAAAAAGAGTAAGCTACAGTTATATGGACTGATACCAAACTTGCTTTTTTGAAGACAAAACTCACTTGTGTGGAAAATTTAATTTCGGAAAATGGTTCCTCAAGAATATAAATACTTTATAGGGGTCTAAAGGGATTCGGAAGACGAGGGTCAAAATTAGTATACCCTCCATACGATAGAGGAAATATAACAAATTCAACTTCGGCTTAACAGTCAAAAAGGTTGAATGGGACTGTATCACGGCCATATGTTACACCAATTAAAGTACATATCTATAAGCATTGGTTGGTCACCTTCCCCACAGGTTGTTCATTTTCAATAAATGCAGAACCACGGCTATTATTACCATTGCCAACAGGCAATTCAATGTTCTGTGCTTTGCCAGACATGAATACTTGATCTATAATAACTACCACAGAAAACATAGTCTAAAATATCCCATAGTTCAAATTTTCAATCTCATATAAATTCATAACAAAGTAAATAAAACCATTAAAATTTCTAAATGTATAATTTATGTATATTCTTAAAATGTTTGATTACACTTCAATAAGAATACATTAATTTTTGTTTGTTGTGTGTGTGTTCACCAAACGTTAAGTATCAATTTTGTTGTTGTTTTGGTTAAAACTATAATGCTGCTGTGTATAAGGATTTAAATGTACTGTTATTGACACACCACAGGGACGACAACGATGATAACTACTGGTTTGTAAGAGAAATGTGGGAATTGTTGTAAAATTAGATATTTCCCCAAATGTCATATATGTATTTCATTTTCTTTTATGTTTTATTTTCGTTTTCTTTATTTTTTTTCTTTTTTGCTCTTTAAACTTTCATCACAAAGTGATGAATGTTTTGGGTTGTGTAGTTGTTGATGTTCTTCTTCTTCTTTTTTCTCTTGTAATTAAAATGAATGTCTGGTTAAAATACACAATAATTTCAACTTAAAAAATAAATGTCTAAATGTTAGAAATCATATAATATTGTAAATAAGTTTATATATTATATACTACTATATCTGTATGTATTAAAATGTATGTGGAAGTGTCAATAGAAGTCCAGGTTCAATGGAGCACTTCATTTTTTTATCATTCGTGTAAACGAAGCCGTGGCAGGTGGGAGGATGGAGTTGAATGAATTTTAGAAATACGTTACTTTAATTGTACGTCCATCCATGCGTGAACCGTCCATAAGAGCTGGAAATAAATGTGTGTTGTGTGTTATAAATTATAAATCAAAATTATGAGGGTTCAATTATAACATACCTATGGCAAGTTCTGCATCTCTTTCTTTAAAGAAACGTACCACACCCAAATCATTGCCACGAATTTCAGCGAATTTTACCTCACCAACATCTCTGAATTTATCTCTAAGTGTTTGCCAAGTACAGCTCAGGGGTATCTATGGGAAAACGGAAACAACAAATTATAGTTTAGTATATAAACATTACTCTCATAATGCCAAAAAAGTAAACTTACATTTTTAATTATGATTGTGTCTGATTTGCGTACATTTCCAGCATTATTGCCGACATTACCGCCACCACCACCAGAGCCGTACATATCGAGAGCATTACCCGAACCGTAGTCACCATCTAATGATGGTCCGGCATTACCGCCTCCACTGCCACTGTTGTAGGCATTAAAGCCGCCCCCTCCTCCACCAGAGTTTCCGGCCGGTGCATTAAAACCCGATGAGTTACCAAAGCCAGAACTATAATTATTGCCTCCGGTGCTATAGTTATTGGATAGGCCAGAATTACCAGCTGCCAAGGCATCATCATTGCCACCACCTTGTCCTTGACCCAAGTTAATGCCCAAATTATTGAGCGATGTGGTCAATAGGGGATTAGAGAGAGCAGCACCCAAACCACCAACAACATTGGTTAGAGCTGCCAAATTGAGACCGGAATTAGCATTTAACGGCAAATTTCCTTGGGCCTTATTACCAACTGGTGCAACAGGTGCTGGCTGTTGTACACCGCCATTGTTGCCAAACATACCGCCAACATTGGGTCCAGCATTGCCCATACCCATGCCGCCGCCATTACCACCCATACCGCCGCCAACATTCATACCACCGCCGCCCATGTTGCCATTGTTTACACCCATTTGCTGGGGTGCATTACAATTTTGATTGGCATTTGGCAAATTGCGGGCAACATCTTTTAGTGGTTCACCATTGGGACCCAGTCCGATGCCAACACCACCCAAACCTTCGGGTAATTTAATGCTTTCACCCTTGTCAGGGATGCGATCCAAACGTACGGTCATACGGCGGTCATACAACATTTGACGATCCAACATAGATATCGCCTGGACAGCTTCCACGGGATGGTCATATTCAATAACGGCAAAACCACGGCTATTACCATCCTTGTCTACAGATAAGTCAACACTCTGTACTTTGCCAGCCAATTTGAATACTTGTTTGAGTTTTTTAGTATCCACTTTATAGTCAAGCTATAGTTGTACAACAAAAAAAGAACACAAACACGTAATTAATAAAAATCAGGATTATTTATATTTGAAAGCATGGCGGCTACCACGGAGGGTATCAGGAAGAGGCTGTTTAAACATTATGAATTAGTTGTATAGATCGTTACCGGTATGTAGAAATTTTTTTGTAGCCGTTATTACATTTTCCCCGGATCTGATTGCTAAGTTAATAAATTTGAAAGGATATATTGAAAATCAAAAGAAACACCACCAAAAGGTTGCAATTTAAGCTGTTTACTTAGTCGTTATTGCAATAATAAATCAAATGAGATTAAACACATCTTAGGGTTCTATAGTTTGAAAAACGACCAAACGTCAGTAAAGGACTGTTTGCAACGAAAGCATTACATTTCAATGAGTGTATACATTACAATATATCCTAATAGCAACTTACGCTCGATCATGATGTATTTGACACTTAATATATGTCAAATAGAACATGATCTAGCAGTTGATCATGACAAAGAGCGCTAATGTAAACATAACCTATTTTAAGGACTTGAGGCAATATGTAGGTTTCTTTAGTTTGAAAATAGACCAAACGTTAAAGAAGAGCACTGTTTTGGCGCGCAATTTACATCATTGGCAATTAGAAAAAGAATATAAAATCTCAAGATATTTTGATATTTTTTTAAATGAATATGCCACCCCACTGATACCATTACAATACGTCCTTAGTTTAATGTTGCAAAATTGATAAAGGTAATCTTGAAATTACGACCAAAATATGCCAGCCAATTTTTAAAGAAAAAAATGAATAAACAAATAAAAAAGAAACAGAAATTTTAAAAATATTCTAGAAAATATTTTTCATGGCCCATTTTCAATATTACAGAGACAATGTAATGTATATTTAATAAAACAGCCATCCCTGCGACCGTATATAAAAACAATAAATCGTATACTAACAAAATACAACTAACATAACACGGCTGTAGAAACGGCGAGGCGAGGAAAGCGGTTCAAGTTCTGTTATCTCTTTGGAATAGCAAATATCAAATCAAACAAATTGCTTGTGTTGTGTATCCAAAAACAATACTGATGTTGAAAGCCCCTCATCATCTTTAACAAGTTTATTGCACCTTCCCCTTTTCGCAAATATTGAAAATGGAAAGCAAACAACCGATGAACCTTACACAAACAACAACAACGACTTACATTTACTTTGTATTTTTTTCTTTAAGGGTACTAGATCGTAAAAATAGAAAAACAATTTTTTTTTTGTAAAACAATACTCACATTAGCAACGAAAACTTTATTATGCAAAGGTCCAGTTATGCCAAGATTCTCCAAAAACGACGCTGAAAGCCCATAATAATTATAATTCGCCGCTGGGTTTACAAAATCATTAGACATCATGTTATAATTATTACGACCAGATCTAAAAGGAAGATATCAACAACAACAGAGTACACGAATAAGAAAGCGAATTTTTGTCAAAAAAAGGAACAACAACAGGTACATCAATCAACAAGCTGAATTTAGGAGAGTGAAATAGAGGATCAATTAACATCATCATCATCAGGCATAAAGACAGCTGTAAGAAAATTATTAGGTGGGTGTTGGTGGTGCCGTAGTAATACACAATCCACATCTTCTTCAGTTATTCAAAATTAAGTTTTACAATGCAATATTTCATTTCATTACCAATTCAAAATGTAGGGAATTAAATATTCTATTATAATGTATTAACTTACACAAATATTATTTAAAAATTGTCCTATTTTTTTAATAAATTAATTTAAAACTATATTACTACAAGGAACAATTAAATATTTCAAACTTTAAGAAAAAATATGCAAATACTTGTCGTGGAGATTAAAACAATAGAGATCTTAAGATAGCCAAAAAAAAAATTATTTCACCAAATGGTATCGAATACAGTCTTCAGATAAGTGGTCAATAGAGACCAATTAATATTTTCAAATGTAAATATCATTAGTCCCTGTGTCAATAATTAAAAAGATATAGGTACAATACAATACTTTTAAATGGAGTCAAAATCATAACAATCTCAGAAATTTGAATATAGGAAGCTGATTCTCAAAATATTTAGAAAATGTTCATAAAATGGAGAAGCTACCTTAGTAGGCTATAATGGGAAATTACTATTTAAAATAATTGGGAAGTCGATTTTCGAAATATTCCGAAACAAATCGCGTAAAAAATGCTAAAAGTATGTGACACAAGACATATCTTTCATACCATGATACAAAATTTACAAAGAACAATATACGGAGGTCAAAATTATGCTGAATCAACCATAAAAAACGTTGCAATTTATAACAATTCATTTAGTCCAGACTACCTATGACATAACGATGAAGGAAATAGAAACAACCCCAGCATTGTTTGCTGCATCAAAATATGCAACAATACTCGTTTCTTCTTTTAAACACTCTTCCCCGAGAAATTGATCATCAAATAAGGAAAATACATAATTTGTAATTTTTGAAATTGAAAAAACGCTTCCCCATAAAGTTTGTCTCCATATTTAAATGTTAGAAAAGTCTAAAAGCAGTCTCATACACGTACGAATCGAAAGAATAATATTCTTTTATATATTCGACAGTAAAATTCAGCATAACTAGGTATTAAGTACCTACAAAAATATACAGGTAATAAAACGAACACTACTGTACTTCTTTACATTGTTTCGCTGTGGTGAAAAATCATAAATTCTGGTATAGCGACGCACTTAATAAACAATTTTCAGGTAAGACCACTTTTAGGATATTTCGAAAACCGTAGTAACCTTTGGAAAACAACAAAGCATTTTAACTAAAAGGAATTAATAATGGATTTTCATACGAATTTGCACAATCCACCAACTGTAGTTTGTTAACAACTTTTTTGTCAGCAGCAATATGTTTTAATAACAATAGTTAATATTATTTATATTTAAATAAACAAAATATACTTACGATCGATCGTCATCTCGTCTACCACCGCCACCATAGCCTCCATCGTTGCCGCCACCACGACCACCACCCATACCGCCGCCGCCGACACCGCCACCACCATCACGAATTATACGTCCACATTGGTCACGCTGTTCACCATGATCTTCCTTTACCACCAATTCACGACCATTCACTTCGTAACGATTCATTTTCTCCAATGCCTTTTGGACATTATCGGGATCTTTGAATTCGACAATACCACAGCCACGGGCTTTGCCATTTTCATCGTGGAACAATTCAACATATTCCACAGAACCCACAACGCGTCTAAACAAATCTTTCAGATCTTGCCAACGATAATCGTAGGGTATATTGGATATGTAGATGCGACAATTGCGTCGCTGTTCACGGCTGCGGTCACGATTTCCAGCACCGGCAGCAGAGGATGTATCTGCATCAGAAAAGCGTGTTCCACGTGCCCGTCCACGACGCTCGCGCTCTTTTTCACGGTTCTCAACACCGGCGTTGTTATCCATATTGTCCGAAATGTTGAAGCTCTACACAGAAAATAAAAAAATACATTTTTATTATTCGAACCCTGGATACTTTGAAAGAAAAATTTTGGTGCAGCGTCGTTGTGGTCATTGGCAAAAAAATAAAAATGGCGTCTCTTTACTTTTTTTCCGGCAAAATGTTTTCCTTATTTCTTACCTTAGAAATCACTCTTTGTGTTGGATTGTAAGATTATATGGCTGTGTTTTGCACGATCAGCAATCGTCTGCTGCCCGATGAAACTGTTTTGAGAAAATGTCAGTAATTTTAACTAATGTGATTTTTGCAAAATCGGCGTAACGCGTGAAACTACAATTCAAACCCAATCACGTATACACACAAATGAAAATTGCATCGTTCTAAAATGTTATGTGCAGTGATGATTCTCTTCGTAATGGCGGCAGCTGTACATTTATGTATTTTTAGTACATGTTCTAAGGGTTGTTAGTAGACGTAACGTAGCGTATGCAGTAAAGTGTGGTATACACTAACGAACAGTATGAATAAGAGATTATAGCACATTTACATGCGCATGTGTATTTTCGAAATCCCGAAAAATACGCATTTGGAGAAATACATATTTTGAGTTAAAATCTTATTTTTTATTTTAAAAATCGTTGTAACAATTTTCTTCTTTTGGTAAGTAAGTTTGAGTGCGTGTGTGTGTATATGTAAACAAATACCAACTGAGAGTCATGACACACTAATTGTTTACACATAGGTTTTTTAATTCACATGATATAAATGCCGATCAGCTGATGTTTGTTAGTATATACAAATCGGATTTACATATAACATTTGATCATGATTAAAGGACGAATCATGGTTTAAAGTACATATATATACATATACCATTTTAAATCAAATCCAGAAATACATTCTTATTGTTTACACATACCTTTAATAATGATATAATATCGATCAGCTATGTTTTTATATTTCATACATTTGAATGATTTCATAAAGAAGCAAATCCAGAAATACATTCTTATTGTTTACACATACCTTTAATACTGATCTAAATGCCGAGCAGCTAATGTATTTTAGCAAACATACAAAATTATTAATTTGAATCGAAAATATTTGTTTGCAATTTGAAAATGAACAGAAGAAAGTAAAAAAAGAAAAAAACACAATAATTTAAAAATAATTTTTATTTTCCTTTGATATTTCATAAAAGAGAAAGAGAAAGAAAAGAAGAAGAAACTTACCAGGGATGGTCGGCGTGACGAATTTTTAGGTTTTCGACTGTCAAAAAGGTGTAAACGTCGAAAACGTCATATACATGTATAAAATGTAATAAATGTAGTAAATGTCATTTATTCGAATATTTTTAACATATACCATTATTTTCAAGAATATATATTATTTTTGCATATATCTGTCTATTCCTTTCTAGAACAGATACAAATTTCTAAACTTTTTGGGCAAAAAAAAAAAATTTGAAATTTTATATGGATTTCAGTAAAGAATACCTAATTTCCAAATTCATTAATGGAAATATTTTGTCAAAAACCTAATGGTTTTCGGTGTCTGTTCACATTTCTCAATATTATTGCAAAAGACAATAAAAATGTATGTCATTTATGTCACTGTTTCTGACGGAAAATATTTACTGAAACTAGTGTAAATATTTCTTTGCCATAGGTTTCTGACCACAAAATGTTTTCAACATGGCAAACACAAAAACACGTGATTTATCCTGTTCACAAATCCAGTGTATATAGCGTATAGAATTGACATTCGATAGAGTGGATTTCGTAAATCTAAACGTACTTTTACGTTAGAATCAAATCAGCTGGGTATTTATATGTTAAGAACGATCAGCTGACTGACATTTACATCCCCTCAAGGTGTATGTAATTGAGTGGGGTATTTCTGGATTACGTTAATCAATTCGATTTATTTCGATATGTAAAAGTTTTTGAAAGGCGTTTTACTTTTAGTTTTTTTGTTTATATTCATTTTTTACATTAACATTACTTTCGACCAAAAACTTTCAGATTCTTGTACACCAATAATAACTATTACCATTTATAATTACTGCCATCAATATATATATGGAATTATTTTAAAATATAAATTAATTTTTATTTTTTTAGACAACTACGATTGTTATTTTTTTTTTTAATCTGTTAGCCCACAATATATTTATAGCAAAGCATATATTTTTTATTTTTATATTTTCGCTTTTCGAATTGTTGTACACCAACAATTGATGATGCAAGAATCTACCACTTTTTACTATGATAACGAAATTTCCTTTATGATATCGAAGAAGATAGTAAAATCTAGTAGATTCTTGCAGTGCGGGAACAGACCATATATTTTATAATTATTGCCTTTTTTAACTTTTATACCCTTTGGCAATTGAAACTACTATTTTTCTTTTTTATACACTTCTATTTTTTCAAATTCGCCAAAAACATATTTATGGATCCCTGTATTTGCAAAACATATGTTTTTTATTTTCATATGTTTGCCTTTCTTTTTATTCTCCTTTGTTATTCTGTTGATTTTCTCTGCATTCATCGACAGAGATGTCAACTATGTGAATAATTTAATTTGGCGATTTTTTTTTAATTTTTAAAAATGATTTTCTATATATTTATACGCACAATATATTTACTGTTATATAGAAATTGTACCTTATATATATTTATTATATATACATACATATGTAACCATATTCATTACAATTATCATTAGCGGACATTAATGGAAAATTCTATATTAACGATTTTTTATCTATGGAAATTGACAACACTGTTATATTCACCAGCACGCATTGTGTAATGTGGAAAAGCTGGTGTTTTCGGCATTTTGGTAGTTGATTATTAAAAATAATAAAATAAATGAAATAAATAGCTGAGCAATAATGGCAGGATTGACAAAATTAGTTAATGTGTCCCAGAGCATAAAAGTCTGCTGTGCAGCACTTGGAAATTTGTCGCTACAAAACACAACAAGAAATTTTGGATCCCTGCTAAGGTATGTTCCGACAAATGTTTTTGTAAATTCCATGAATTTATTTTTATGTAATAAATATTTTGTTAAATTAAAGGACACAACAACAAGTACAATCACAACTATGCGCCAGTGCTGTGGCATTGAAGGGCCGTCACTTCTCCACCAGCCAGCCAAAAAGTGATTTAATGCAATTCTTCGATGATCCCAAAAATTGGCCGGAAAATGAGGTTAAAGTTGGTAGAGCTTGGAAGTTGGATGAGCTACGCATTAAGTCCAATAAAGAGTTGCACCAGTTGTGGTATGTCCTGCTTAAGGAACGTAATATGTTGCTGACCATGGAACATGAATGCAATGAGAAAATGGAATTGTTTCCCAGTCCCGAACGTTTGGATAAAGTGAAAATATCCATGGAGAATTTGGAAACAGTTGTGCGGGAGCGTAATAAGGCGTATCATTTGTTGGAAACCGGTGAAACGGGAGAGAGACCACAACGTTTGGTGGCCAACAATTTGGGTATACGTTACATGTATAAGTAAGTATGGGGAAGACTATAGAGTCGGTACCAGTAGTGGCCTAGTTTTTGTATATAAGGTTCTCCACTGTATAATGACACTTTATTTTGGAATAATTTCTAATTCCAATCCCTATTTAATTTCAGATCTGTTGAACACGTCCTGCCACCATTTATGAACGTTAGATGGATTAAGACCCGTTCCATAGGCTATGGTGGTCGTGCTGTGCGCAAATTCTTACTGAAATATCGTGAAAAACTTTATAACGAAAAGCGCAAGGCCAAGAAGTGAGTAGTTCTCCCTAATATCGATTAAAACATATTCTAAACCCAAATACTTTTATATTTATTTACAGTCGTTCCCGCAACGAGGTTATGATGTTGCTGCGTCGCAATCCCAACATGGATGTTGATTTCCTGAAACGCAAATTCCCCAATGTTAATATAGATAAATTGAAAGAATCGGATAAAATCCGTGGCCATTATGTACCCAATATATAAGTACCAAAATGAATACAAAATTGTTGTTTTTTAAGAAAAAAATTGATTTATTTTTTTAGTCATCATTGTCAAAACAGATTTTTTTACCTTGGAAAGCTGTTATAACAGGCTTTAGTTTCTGTTTTGCTGCCCAGGATGGATGCAGATTGTCTTGGCTTTGATTTTGTGTTTTATTTTCCTTGGGTGCCTTATTTGCATTGTTAAAGGATTTATTATTATTGCCTTTCACCTCTTTCGTATCATTATCTTCACCAAATACAATCTTCTTTCCCTGGAAGCCAGTTATTACAGGTTTAAGTTTTTGTTTGGCAGCCCATGATGGATGCAGCTTTTCATTATTGTTATCCACATTTTTCTTTATATCAGGTTTTTGTTGTCTTTGGTCATTCGGCCATGACTTTTGTTGTCTTTGATCATTATTCCATGGTTTTTGTTGCCTTTGGTCATTTGACCATGGTTTCCGTTTGTCATTGAAACGTGATTGCTGGTCTTGTCTTCTATTATCATTACCAACTCTATTTGGTTTTTGTGAATATTTTTCGTCTTGCCATTTATTTTTTTGTGGGAATTCATCATTACCGCGACGTTGTCTTCTATTTTCACGAAAATCTGTATACTTTTTGGAACCATTTAATTGTATCAAATGTCGATCTTTTTCCTCCACTTCATGGTTATCTTCTGCGGCATTTTTATTTACAACAGCAGTTGAAAGATAATTTTCCCCAGTTTCCGTAACAAAGAATGGATCAACGACATGTGTGGTTTCCTCAGTTTCAGATTCATTGGCACTATCTTCACTTGGTTTGAAACTTTCGTCGGCTATGCTTTCTTGATCGGACTCATGTTCTGATTCAATATTTTCTTGGACTTTTACAACTGGTGTTTTAATTTCCAGTCTTGGTTTCTTTTGTGGAACTTCTTTTTTCGGTGGTTTGCCATTCACAACCTGTGTGGGTCTTTTCACTTTCGGGGTTTCTTTTACTACAATGGGCTGCTTTTTATTTTCTTGTATTTCCTTTGGTAAAATATTTTCTTCCACTTCTTCGATTTTCCAACCAGATACCGTAGATATGCTGTTATTCTTTACGTCCCCATCATTAGCTTCATCATTGCCTTCAGTTGGGCAATTTTGTTCCAACCATTCTTGACGATTGCGTGCCATTGCCTTTTGTTCCTTAAGAGCTTGTCGCTTGCGTTTCTTCTCTTCAGTCCGTTCGATTTTTTGTCGTCTTTTACTATTTTCCCTAAGCTCTTCCTTCCATATGGCACTATCACTATCCTCAAGCTTTAACTCTAATTTGAAACGTTTTATTAAACCCTGCATAACTTTGTTCATTGCCAGCAATGCTGCCGCCATTTCATCGGGTGTGGATGAACCATTTGTAATCACTGCTGCGGGAGGTTTCTCCAGTAACAAAACACATTTCATGATTTCAGCACGTTTCAGTTTCTATTTATTAACAGGAAAATGGAATCACAATAATCATTTTCACTTTCTAAAAATATACGATTTATACACACCTTTAGATGTTCCATGGTCTCGGTTGATTTACGTATTCTTTCCTTGCACTTGCTATCCTCCGGCCTTTTTTCCAACAGGGTCTTTAGTTTACGTATTTTGTGCACGAGTTTGTTGATAGTCTGTATTCTTGCCTGTTGTATACCCTTTTTATTGGATATTACCTTTAAAAAGTATTGGAAATTAAATGGAATCTGTACTAAATTGTATAGCTTTATCACTTACCATATTATTAAATTGTAGTTTATTTAACATTTTGTACTTTTTCCTGTTTCAACAATCAAAATAATAAAAAAATATAATGTGCTTTCTTGTTATTTACTGTGGTGTGGTATGTTCAGTGAACAGATGATAGTGACATTAGTGTATGTTGCCACATTGAAGTGAGGGTAGCTTTAATGAAGACGTGTGGCCATTGCACAATATTTTGTAATGGGAGACAAAAAACACTCGAAATTCGGGATTCTTGTAAAACATAACATTAATACAACACAAGTATTTTTCATTTTTTTTTATTCGTTATGAAGAATTGCGTATTTTATGCCTTCCCTGATTCTGTCAAGTATTTTCTACCACACATCATGTAATTAATATATATCACATAATGTGATCCATGCTTGATATGTATCATTTTTTACCATTTGCCTCTTACTATTCGTAAACATGATACATTTTCGTCTCATTTCCGCTCATCAACATTCGTAACATACGTTTATTTTGTTGATTCCTCTTCATTTTTCCTTTCGCACCAATTGTTTTTAGTGTTATACTTACGTATAACATAATGAGTATATACAGAGTTAATTGGCATTAGTTCTATAGCTCATTTTAGTGAATCGTTCAAATTGAACTAAATTGTTCCTGTCAGCGACGCAACTCTAAGGATTAGGAGATATTTTGGAGGAAATACAGTAAATAAATATAAAAGGCGACCAATTAGGAGTGGCCAATAACGGCAATAGGTATTCCAAGGGTAGCTGTACACCTTTAATTGCGAAGTGAGTAAACTTTTGTGAAAATATACAACAAGATTGATTATTGTTGATGGTCCCACATAGTTCCAGAGTTGGCGACCAAATCTAGGGGGTAAACCCAATTGGAATTTTGGAAGTCGTGAAAATCGACTTCCAAAATTTTGATAAGATACAGATGAAAAGCTATGCGAAAATTTCTGTGTAAGACTTTGGAATTATGTTGGTCAACCACTATTATACATTTTTTCTGCATCGGCTATCGGATATTCCAAAATTAACTGTTTCTTTCTCTTCATTATAGCAAAGAAAAATGCCAGTCAAAAAAAAGTGTCGCATATGTTTGGCTGAGGACAAGGGCCGCAATGGAATGCAACCATTGTTTGATGAGAAAAATATACGTTGTGCCGAAATTGTCCATCGCATAGAGGAATGTGGGGGAATTGTGGTAAGTAAAAAACCAAACATCAATTTCTTCATCATGGCATGCTCCTAAATGTATGACCTTTTTTCTAATTGCAGTTAAAGCATCATGACGAATTCCCCACAATGATATGTTTCCAGTGCCTAGACTATCTAAATACATCGTATAAATTTCGTTTAATGTGCCAGTCCAGTGAACAGGCTCTATTGGATGCAATAGTGAAGGTGCGTCAATTTGCAAAAAATATCGATTTTAAATTATACTACAATTTTAATATTTTCAGTCGGAATTAAAAACGGAACCACAGGAATCTTCGACGTCGGCCCAACAATCTACAAATGTTTCCAAAACAAGGTCCACCACCACCAGCACTGCTAATGCACCAGCGGCGGCTGATGAAGAATTATTTTTCGAAATACGTTCCGAATTTATTAAAGGCCAAGAAGTTTTCTTCGACGATCTGCCCGACACCAAACAGGATATATTCAGCGACAATGACAATGACCGTGATGATGATGATGAATTTCTAGCCATTGAAGAGGTGGATTTGGAAGAAATTGATGGCGAAGAACATTTGGATGATAGTGATACAGATAATGATAACGATAAACTATTAGATGATGATGAATTTGTGCCCATACCAAAAAAGAAATCCAAAACAAAAGCTGCGAAGCCCAAAAAGGAGACAAAAGTAAAGGGATCGACTGGCAATAAGACTACTGGTGCAACTACTACTGGTGAAAAGGGTGTGGGTAGAGGTCGAGGTCGTAAGAAAAATGAAGCGGAACCGGAAACAAATATATGTGAAATCTGTGGCAATATCTATGCCAAGCGAAGTCTGCTGAATATGCATATGAGACGTCATCGGGCCGAAAAGCCATTTGAATGCGAGTAAGTTTTATTCGCATAGCCTTAGATTTAGGTATTGGATAAAACAAAAATGATGTGTCTTATTGGAATAGGGATTTTGAGCCACAAGGAATTTTGTGACAAAGCGGCTTTTGATAATTCGGAGTCAATTTAGAAAGAAAATTTAAAGAATTTTAGAGGACCCTAAGAGTGGATTTTTAAACGAATTTTAGAGGACACTAAGCGAGGATTTTTAATCGAATTTTGGAGGACCCCATGTGTGGGTTTTAAAAGAATTTTAGAGGACCCTAAGTGTGGGATTTTTAAGAATTGTAGAAGACCCTAAGCGAGGGGTTTTTAGAGAACCCCAAGCATGGATTTTTAAACGATTTTTAAAGAATTTTAAAGGTCTCCATAAGGGTGGATTTTTAAATGGATTTAAGAGGACTTTAAGCGTGGATTTTTAGACGAATTTCAGAGGGCACTAAGCAAGGATATTTAAATGAATTTACAACACTAAGCGTAGATTTTTAAACAAATTTTAGAGCACTCTAAGCGTAGAATTTTAGAGGACCCTAAGCGTGTATTTTTAGAACAATTTTAACGTAGATTTTTAACAGAATTTTGGAGGATCCTAACCGTGGATTTTTTAAAGAATTTGAGAGGACTCTACGCGTGGAATTTTAAACGGATTTTTGAGGACCCTAAGCGAGGATTTTTTAAGAATTTTAGAGAACCCTAAGAATGCATTTTTTAAACGATTTTTAAGGTTGGATTTTTAGAAGACTTTAAGCGTGGAATTTGAAACGAATTCTAGAGGACCCTAAGCAAGGTTTTTAACAATTTTAGAGAACCCTAAGCATGGTTTTTTTAAACAAATTTTAGAGGACCCTAAGCGTAGATTTTTAAACAAATTTTAGAGGACCCTAAGCGTAGTTATTTAAACGAATTTTAGAGGACCTTAAGCGTAGATATTTAAACGAATTTTCGTTGACCTAAACGTTTGTTTTTTTAGGACTCTTGTCGTGAATTTTGAAAAATTTTCAGAGGATCCTAGGCGAGAATTTTTGAAGGATTTTTAACGTTTGAGTTTTTTCAAGATTTTTTAAGAGTATTTCAATTTAATTTTTTTCATACTTTATTTTCAGAATTTGTGGTAAACAATTCACCTGTCCCTCGGAAATAGGTCGTCATATACGAATTCACACCGGAGAAAAACCTTATGTTTGTCGTTTCTGTGGCCGAACATTTGCCGATAGAAGTACAAACATTAAACATGAAAGGTAACACCTTTAATAATTAATAATAACAAATTATTTTAAATAAATAATTTATGATTCTTCTACACAGAATACACACAAATGAAAGGCCATTCACCTGCCAGACATGTGGTAAATCATTTACATACTCAAATGTATTAAAGAATCACATGCTAATACATACAGGAGAAAAGCCATTCCCGTAAGTACTGGGACCCATCACCCCATCCAATGTATTATATACAATAAATAAATTAAATATTTTTTTGTTTTTACAGTTGCAAACCGTGCAATAAAACATTTTCACGCAAACATCAATTGGAACAGCATTTAAGTACCATAACACATCAACAGACTATTAAAAATCTCCTAATGCCAAAATTCCGAGATGAAGATGGTACAGAATATACATTGCAATTAACCGATAGTCATGGCCAACCAATTGAACAACAACTACAGCAACCACAAGAGCAACAGCAACAACAACAAGAATATGTTGAACAGAAACTTTAAACTTTGCTTAGTTTTTACTTTACATTTTATTTATTAGAATACACCATTGTCTTGATTAGATCATAAGTATCCTTTTGAAATTACATATTTTGTGTATATTGTACGCTTTTTTTTACACACACACACGTATATATACATAATGATGACCCCAAAAACTTTTCGTTAATCCTATATATAGTACTATATATACGTATGTATATATGTATGTACGTACAAACAAAAAAAAAATCAGCTTGACTAATTGCAATAAAAAAAATAAACATAAATATTAAGAAACTAAATTGTTTGTATTCAACAGAGAATTTTAGGAAGAATATTAAGAGGGCGGATTAATGGTAAGTATTTAAAAATTATATGGATTTTTGAAAAAAAGGTAAGATTTTTATAACAATCTCTACGCGTGAATTTTTTAGAAGAATTCGGCAGATCCTTAGAGTGTATTTTGATATTGTATTTTAAAGGACTTAAGGCTGGAATTTAAGAGCATGATAAATTTGGATACATTTTAAATTAAACATAAATTTTTTAAGGAATTTCAGAGGACCCAAAACTTTATATTTTGTTCTAAATCGTAAATCTTTAAAAAATTAAACATGGATTTTTTTAAAGATTTTCAGAGGACCCTAAACATGGAATAAGAAGTTTATTTCAATATTTAAAAAAAGGCGTGGATTTTTTAAAGAAATTTAAAGGCGTGGATTTTTTAAAGAAATTTAAAGATGTGGATTTTTTAAAGAAATTTAAAGGCGTGGATTTTTTAAAGAAATTTAAAGGCGTGGATTTTTTAAAGAAATTTAAAGTGTGGATTTTTTAAAGAAATGTAAAGGCGTGGTTTTTTTAAGGAAATTTAAAGGCGTGGATTTTTTAACGAAATTTTAAGGCGTGGATTTTTTAAAGAAATTTGAAGGCGTTGATTTTTTAAAGAAATTTGAAGGCGTTGATTTTTAAAAGAAATTTAAAGGCGTGGATTTTTTTAAGAAATTTGAAGGCGTGAATTTTTTAAAGAAATTTAAAGACGTGGATTTTTTAAAGAAATTTAAAGGCGTGGATTTTTTAAAGAAATTTAAAGGCGTGGATTTTTTTAAGAAATTTAAAGGAGTGGATTTTTTAAAGAAATTTTAAGGAGGGGATTTTTTAAGGAAATTTAAAGGCGTGGATTTTTTAAAGAAATTTAAAGGCGTGGATTTTTTAAAGAAATTTAAAGGCGTGGATTTTTTAACGAAATTTAAAGGCGTGGATTTTTTAACGAAATTTAAAGGCGTGGATTTTTTAAAGGAATGTAAAGGCGTGGATTTTTTAAAGGAATGTAAAGGCGTGGATTTTTTAACGAAATTTAAAGGCGTGGATTTTTTAAAGAAATTTAAAGGCGTGGATTTTTTTTTAAGAAATTTAAAAGTGGATTTTTTTTTAAGAAAAAGGAGTGGATTTTTTAAAGAAATTTAAAGGCGTGGATTTTTTAAAGAAATTTAAAGGCGTGGATTTTTTAAAGAAATTTAAAGGCGTGGATTTTTTAAAGAAATTTAAAGGCGTGGATTTTTTAAAGAAATTTAAAGGAGTGGATTTTTAAAGAAATTTAAAGGAGTGGATTTTTTAAAGAAATTTTAAGGAGTGAATTTTTTAAAGAAATTTTAAGGAGTGGATTTTTTAAAGAAATTTAAAGGCGTGGGTTTTTTAAGAAATTTAAAGGAGTGGATTTTTTAAAGAAATGTAAAGGCGTGGTTTTTTTAAGGAAATTTAATGGCGTGGATTTTTTAAAGAAATTTTAAGGAGTGGATTTTTTAAAGAAATTTAAAGGCGTGGATTTTTTAAAGAAATTTAAAGGCGTGGATTTTTTTAAGAAATTTAAAGGAGTGGATTTTTTAAAGAAATTTTAAGGAGGGGATTTTTTAAGGAAATTTAAAGGCGTGGACTTTTTAACGAAATTTAAAGGCGTGGATTTTTTAACGAAATTTAAAGGCGTGGATTTTTTAAAGAAATGTAAAGGCGTGGATTTTTTAAAGGAATGTAAAGGCGTGGATTTTTTAACGAAATTTAAAGGCTTGGATTTTTTAAAGAAATTTAAAGGCGTGGATTTTTTAAAGGAATGTAAAGGCGTGGATTTTTTAACGAAATTTAAAGGCGTGGATTTTTTAAAGAAATTTAAAGGCGTGGATTTTTTTTTAAGAAATTTAAAGGAGTGGATTTTTTAAAGAAATTTTAGGGAGTGGATTTTTTAAAGAAATTTAAAGGCGTGGATTTTTTTAAGAAATTTAAAGGCGTGGATTTTTTAAAGAAATTTAAAGGAGTGGATTTTTTAAAGAAATTTTAAGGAGTGGATTTTTTAAAGAAATTTAAAGGCGTGGGTTTTTAAGAAATTTAAAGGCGTGGATTTTTTAAAGAAATGTAAAGGCGTGGTTTTTTTAAGGAAATTTAATGGCGTGGATTTTTTAAAGAAATTTAAAGGCGTGGTTTTTTTTAAGAAATTTAAAGGCGTGGTTTTTTTAAAGAAACTTAAAGGCGTGGATTTTTTAAAGAAACTTAAAGGCGTGGATTTTTTAAAGAAATTTAAAGGCGTGCATTTTTTAAAGAAATTTAAAGGCGTGGTTTTTTTAAAGAAATTTAAAGGCGTGCATTTTTTAAAGAAATTTAAAGGCGTGGTTTTTTTAAAGAAATTTAAAGGCGTGCATTTTTTAAAGAAATTTAAAGGCGTGGTTTTTTTAAAGAAATTTAAAGGAGTGGATTTTTAAAGAATTTTTAGAGGACCATAAGCTTGGTTTTTCAAAGAAATTTAGAGTGCCGTAAAGTGTGGATTTTTAAAGAAATTAAGAGGACCCCAAGCTAGGATTTTTAAAGAATTTAAGAGGACCCTAAGCTAGGATTTTTTAAAGAAATTTAGAGGACCTTAAAATTAGATTTTTTTAAAGAAATTTAGAGGACCATAAAGTTAGGATTTAGAGGGCCCTAAAGCTAGGATTTTTAAAGAAATTTAGAGGATCATAAGCTTGGTTTTTTAAAGAAATTTAGAGGACCCTAAAGCTAGGATTTCTTAATGAAATTTAGAGAACCCAAAAACTAGGATTTTTTTTAAGAAATTAAGAGGACCCTAAGCTAGGATATTTAAAAAATATTAAGATTACCCTAAAGCGTGGATTTAGAGGAACCTAGTTTAAATTTTTAAATTAAATTTGGGTCCTGTAAATAAAACGTAAAATTTTTAAATGAAATTAAGAGGACCCTAAAAAAAATTTATGGATATTTTATGAGAAATTTTGCAGGATCTTTTGTGAGAGATTTTAAAGCTTTTTTTAAAGAATTTTACAGGATCTTTTTTTTGGGGAGATTTTAAAGGATATTTTTTTGAAAGTGGTAAAATTACCTTTTTTGAAATATTTTAAAGGATCAAAAAAATGAATATTTTACGAATATTGTGAGGATCTTCAGCATGGATTATTGAGAATATTTTAATTGATTTTTTAATGAAAAGAACTTTCTTTAAAAGAATTTTTAGTAGATCTAAAACATGAATGTTTTTTATTTTTTTTTTACGATTTTTATACATTATAGAGTATATATTTACAGGTTTTAAAACACCTTAAGCGTAGATTGCTGTTTAACCTTCCATTTTCAATTAAAAAAAACATGGTGTTTATATTTTTATTTAATTTTTCTTTTTTATTTGATTTTATTTCACTTTTACAGTTTTTTTGTTTGTTTATTTATTTTAAAGCAAATATATTTAAGTGTGATTTGTTGTTGTTGATATTTAACTATATACATATTGTTTATTGTTGTTTTCTTTTAGTTTAAATATATAATTTGTTTTTTATATTTGTTCCAATCGAAAAAAAATAGTAGTCAGATAAAACTATTTACAAAGGGGGAGAAGAGGAGAAAGGTAATAATTTTCTTTGTTGTTTTTTGAATAAAAGTTTTTTTGTTTGCTTTATTAGTTGTTATTTAAAAAATAAACTAATTATAAACCGAAACATAATAATAGTAATAATAATAATAATAAAGAGGAAAAAGAGAAAGCTATCACTTCAGTGTTTTTTTTTTGTTTTTGTATTTTTGTTCTAAAACAATTTCAAAATTTGATATTTGTGTTAAAATAATTCTTTTTTGTTGTTATTGTTAATAATATTTATTATTTCGTTTCTATCTTTTAATTAAAACATTTGTATTCCTTTTGTTTTAGGAAAAAGAAAATATTTTTGTTTGATTTCGTTTTGGGTGGGTGGGTGGTTGGTTGGTGTGTTTGTGTGTGTGTGTGAGATACTTATAGAGAGAGGGATAGAGAAAGACTTAACGCCCGCGTTTCGAACGTGTTCTTACTTATTTAAAGCAATTTTGTTGAGTGTTTTTTTCTTCTTCTTTTTTGTGTACTAAAAATAATGTTTTTTGTTTCTTTTATTTTCTTTCTTTCTTCCAATAAAACTAATTTTAAAAGTAGAAAAGGAAAACAAAAATTAATAGATTATTTTTTATTTGTTTTTAAACTAATTTTTAATTAGGTTAAATTGGATGATTTTTGTTTTGTGAATATCTTATATATTTCATTAAGATTGTGTTTGTTGTTGTGGTGGTGTGTGTTTGTCTTTGTATATAGGTAGGAAGGATGTTTGTCGTTTTTTTCTTTTCTAGTAAATAATTGAAGAATGATAAACCTTTTATAAAGGAAATCGTCGGACAAAATTTTTGTTAGCCCTGTTGTGGGTGGGTGTTGGTAGCATTTACAAATATTTGGGAGTATTTAAAAATATAATTTTGTGTTTATTTTTGAATAAGGGTGGCGTGAGAAAGAACAAAAAATGGACATTTTGAGTCATATTCTGAATGTCTTCATATGGGAGGCATAATATAACGAATTATAATAAAAAAGGTAATTTTTTTGGTAAATTTTAAGGGTCGTAGCCTAGATTTTTTTAAAGAAATTTTAAGAAAACTAAGATGTAGATTTTTTAAAGAAATTTTAAGAAAATTAATGCGTAGAAAACTAAGGTGTAGATTTTTTAAAGAAATTTTTAGAAAATTAAGGCGTAGATTTTTAAAGAAATTTTAAGAAATCTAAGGCTTAGATTTTTTTAAAGACATTTTAAGAAATCTAAGGCGTAGATTTTTTTAAAGAAATTTCAAGAAAACTATGGCGTAGATTTTTAAAGTATATTAGAGACCCTAATGGTAGACGTTTTAAAGAATATTAGAGAACCTAATGGTAGACGTTTTAAAGAAATTTAGAGGACCCTAAATGTTTTTTTAACAGACGTTTTAATGAAATTACGTTGGCCACAAACGAGTTTTTCTTAAATCGTGGCTTTTTAAAAATGTTTCAGATGTCCCCAAGGACATCTCTATTAACAATTTCATTGAATTTTGTGGACTGTAAAATAAGTTTATTAAGTCTTATATAGAATTTTGGAACATTGAACAACATCCTAGAGAATTTTAAAAGTTAGCATACTTGGAATTTTTATAGAATTTTAACGAAGGATTCCTTAACGGAAATATTTTTAAAGAAATATAGAGAGTCTTAATTGAAAACTTGTTAAGCAAAAAATCCGCTTAGATGGTATTAAACGAAAACTTTTTACAAAAAATGTTAGAGAACCTTAAAAGGAATTTCAATATGAGTTCTTTTTTGTAGAATTTTAATGGTCTCTAAACGTTGAGTTTTTAAGTAATTTTTGATGATCCTAAATGTGAACTTAAAAGAAGAAGACTATAAGATGCCCCTAATGGAAATATGTTTAATGAAATATAGAGGCTCTTAAACGGATATTTTATAATATATCGTCTATTTGTTGCAAACGTGATTTTCGAGTTAATGATGCACGATTGTTCGCTGTAATAGACCTCATGTTGTGTAAAAACATCATATGAATATTTCTTTCTAATTGAGAAGCTGTAGAAATTCCTCTGTCCCATACAAAGTGTGAGTAAATTGAAAACTTAAAAGCCATTTTCTGCAAAATCGCTTTTTTGAGTTATGCCTGTCTTGCAGCAAATGAGCGATATATTTTTTTCTTATTAAACGAGAACTTTTAAAATAAAGAGAAATAAATAGAGAAATTCTCAAAGGACCCTTAAGATTTTTTCTACAATTTTAGCAAGTGGATTCTTAGAATTCTAAAGAAATCCAAACGTGATTTTAAAAGAATTTTAGTAAGCTTCAAATATGGGAATTTAATGAGTTTTAGATGATAACAAAAAAATTGTTAGAATTTGTTAAAGCTGCTTAACCATTCCTTAGAGTGGTATACAAATGTGGACTTTTTAGAGAACGTCATGGTTGTTTTTTTTACAAATATTTTGAAGAATTCAGTCATACATTTTTTTTAATATTGTTTTTAATTATCTTTCTTTCATCGATTTTTATATACCTTTTTATTGGAATTATAGAAACGTCCAAAATTTTTTTTCTTTTCATAACATGAATAATTTGCCAATGTTTTCAATTGAGAATTATACTTTGAATTTTACAAGTCTCAAAGTCTAAAGGTGCATTTTTTGGATACTTTTTTAGGAAACAAAACATGGACTTAAAACATATTGAAGCTATCAATAAAGTTAATTTTTTTAAATTAATTTCAGAGAACTTAAATTGGTTCTTTGAAAAAGAATAGAGTTTTTTAAATGGTTCTCTGTATGTTTGGATTAGTTTAACAATTTTAAAGATGTTTTAGAGACAAAACCTGGACTTTATTTGAAAATCTTAAAGATGCCAATAAAGTTGATTTGTTTAATTATAATTTTGAGAATTTAGAAATTTTTAATTTTTTACTTTTTCAGAGTACTTAAACTGGTTCTTTGAAAAGAGCATAACGTTTTTTAAATAGCCCTCAGTATGTTTGGATTAGTTTAAACAATTAAAAAAAGGGTCCAGGAACCAAAACCTGGATTTTTTTTTTAATCTTGAAGATCCCAATAAAGTTGATTTCATGGTAACTAAACTGATACTTTAAAAATAGAATAGAGTTTTTTTATTTTCCCTCCATCTTAAAGTGCGCCCAAAATTTTAATATGTTTAGACAATTTTAGAGAGTTTCAATATAGAGGATTTTTTAAAGTCTTCTCGATATATAGATTCTACATTAAGAAATCGAAAACAAAGTAAACTGTAAACTTTTTTCTGGATGTTAATGAATTCCCTCGCAAAATTACCTGCTAATGGATTTTGTTCCGTTGCAGCGAATTTTAATGTACCTTTAGCAATAAATGAACCCTCAAATACCTTTAGAGTCTTCTAAACGTGACCTGTCTTCACAAAATGATTTAAATATTCGTCCATAAAATCAGATATCAAGAAAATATAAAATTTTAACAAAAAGATCCACATTAAATGAAGACCTATTCCAAAGACAATTAAAAAAATTGGTTTCTTCTTCTTGTCAACAAACATTTGTAAATATTCGTCCACCGCGAAAGCCTCGCGAATGTGTGATGCAGTCGATTCATAATTCTCGAATCAAACAGTTTCTATTTTTAATAATTGTTGGAAATTTAATTGTTTTTCAACCTTGCAGTTTCTTTAAAAAATAAACCCTTAATTGACCAGATGTCAATAAAAAAAGTTGTCTTCTTCTTGCGAAAAAAAAATTGTAAATATTCGTCCACAGAAAGCCTCACAAAAGTGTGATGCAGTCGATTCATAGTTCTCAAATCAAACAGTTTCAAATTGTAATAATTGCTGTTTTGAATTTTTTTCACATAATGAAGACATTCAGAAGAAATTGCTGATAATTTGCTTGACATTTTTCATTAAATGAATTCAAAACGATCTCATCTACAATTACCGAATATATAGATATTTTTAACATAAATTTCGAAGGACAATTTAACAGCAAAAAAAAATCTAATGAAGATTCTTTGAATCTCTTAAACAAATTGTTTTTATTTTTTTTCTCGAATTTAATCGAAAAGTTCTGTGTATTATGGAACTTTGTATTGTTGTATTGTGTATGTGTGTGTCTAAGAAATAGAGGAGTTCGTGTGTGTTTGTGTTTGTTTGTGTTTACAATTTATAACTACTGGATTTAGCAGTATTTATTCCATCATTTTGTTTTTCCATTTTAGAGCAATTATTACTGTGTATTTATTTGGATTTCGTATTGTATTTTCTGAAATTTGATTTTGGGTTTTCATTTTGTTTTTGTATTTAGTTTTTCGTTTGTTTTCTTTTCTTTTTTGGTAAACATTTAGAGAATAGCAGCACAACATTAAAGGATTAGAATTAGTTAGTAGTAGTTGTATTTCTTCTTCTTCTTCTTCGTTTTTTGTTGTTGTTGTTGTTCTTCCTGTTCTTGTTGTTATAATAATAGTAAATTTGATGTATTAAAGAAATTGTCGTTTTTGTTGTTGTTTAATTAATTAATTAACACTATATAGTTATTCTTATTGTGTGGTTGGTCAGCTTTTTTATCTATCGACATTCGAATCATTATAACCTTGTCGACGTTTCCAGATTCGTTTTGTGTTCTTGTTGTTTCCGTTGTCATCCAAATGGTCACCCAACTACTATGTTGTAGCATTATAATCAGCTGTTGTTGTACTTGTAATATCATTAGCAGCATACAATAGCATTGAAATAATAAATTTCAACACTATTCGGATATCGGAAAATCCGTATCGTCTTTGGGTTCCAATGACCGATATTCATCTGAATCCTCACTTGTTGTGGTACCAATCGATGTTGGTATGGAAGGTGAGCTTTTGTCAGCCATTTCGACATTTGATGAAGGAGTTATGAATATAGCTGAGGCTGTTGTGCCTGCTGCTGTCGTTGATGATAATGACGATGTAGATGCTGTGGATGGTGCCACCACAATTTGTGGTGTTGCAGAGTCAGCTACAGCAGCTCCATCAGCATCCTTATCACCAATGCCACCAGCTGCAGCTGTTGTTGAACTTAATGCAGAGTTATGAGGAGGAGGCATGTCGCTAATTGTCGAATTCGTTTCTGGTGTTGCTGTTGTTGTTTTAATATTTTCATTATTATCATGTGTTGCTGTTGTTGTTGTCGTGGTGGTGGTTATTGTATCTGTTAATGTTGTGTTTATATCGGCAGAGGCCAACATTAAATCTAATTCCAATTTGCTAGCTGTTGCTGTTGGCTGCTCTGTTATCACAGTTGTTTGTAAATTTGTTGCCGCCGCCATTGGCGCTGACGTCGATGATGATGAGGCCGTTAGTGACATGGACATTGAAGATGTTGTGTTGGTGGCAGAAGATGTTACCGCCGCTGTTGCTCCCGCTGATGTAACCATTGTCTCCATCGCCATCATATCGGCAATGGCATTTTCATCTTCCTCACTAACGCTAATGTAACGGCATCGTTCACTTAACAACGACACCGGTTCATCGTCCTCTTCGGTAACGCTAGTAATGCTCATTGTACGCTCTTTAAAGGTTAACATATGGGGTGCGGTATTACTTGAGGCCGCTTGACCAGAGCCGCTGGCTGTTGTTGTTATAACGGTAATGGGTGATGTTGCCAATGGGGGTAATAATGTTGCTGCTGCAGCAGCAGCACCGCTGCCACTTGTTGAGGAATCAACAACATCTTTCATTGCAGTTAAAATTGCACTTTGCGATGCTGCAGTTGTGCCGGAAACTGTTACAGCAGTCGATGGTGACGACGAGGACGATGGGGAGGATGATGTTGCTGCTGCTGCTGAAGCAGATGATGAAGGAGCTAAATTTGTATCGCCACAATGAGACTCACTTTGTGATATTGAACGACTAATTGAAGTGGTGAATGCTGCGGAAATAAATGAAGGAAAATTTTGTTATCGGTTATAATTGCTTAAGGAAATAATATTAACGGTAAGTTTTTCTATAGAATTTAATGTTATCGTTAAGATTTCCAATAGAAAATATTTGTATAGGTGATAGTTTCCATAAAAAATATTGTGATGGGTAAATTTGTCTATAGAAAATATTGTTATCGATGATATTTTCTATAAAGAAAAGTTATCGGTAACATATTTCTGTAGAAAATGTTATTATCGATTTAATTTCAACACAATATATTGTTATCGACGAAATTTTATATTGACAATATTATTATCTACGACATTTTATATTGGAAATATTGTTATGGACGACATTTTATTGTTATCGATGATATATTTTCAATAAAATATTGTTGTCAATAATATTTTTAAAAGAAAACATTGTTATCGATGATATTTGCTATGGAACTTAATTGTCGATAGGTATTATTATCGATTATATTTTCTATAGAAATGATTGTTATCGATTATGCCCTCTATAGAAATTGCTGTTATCGATTATATTTTCAATAGAAATTATTGCTATCGATGATATTTTCGATAGAAAATATTCTAATCGGTTATATTTTCGATAGAGAATATTATAATCGGTACAGCTTCCAATTGAAAATAATGTTGTCGATTGTATTTCTTGCCGACAATAATATTATAGGTGAGCTTTTTTATATAAAATATCGATAAAAGCTTCAACAAAAATAATGTTATTGGTTATAATTTCCACATAAAACAATGTTATCGGTAACATATTGAATAAAAAATATTATCGGTTGTAGTTTTTATAGAAAATAATGTCATGGATGATATTTTCTACAGAAAAAAATTTTATCGATAATTCTTTCTAAAGAAAATATTGTTAAAGACCATATTCTCTATAGCAATTATTGTTATCGATGATATTTTCTGTAAAAAACAATATTGTTATCGATGTATTCTTATAGTATTTTCGATTTATTATTTATTGAATATATTTTCTATAGAAAATACAGATATTCAATACATTTTCTGTAGAGAATATTTTTATCGGCAGTTTCCCACTGAAAATATTATTGAATTTTCTGAAGAACATAATGTTATCGGTAAGCTTTTCTATAGAAAAAGTCGTTAACGGTATGATCTACAATAGAAGATGTTGCTATCGGCTATAACCTTCGAGAAAAAATATTGTTATCGGTTATAATTTCAACAGAAAACATTGTTATCGTTTGTATTCTATTAAAAAAGAGTATTGTTATCGATTATTTTTTCTATAGAATTTAGTGCTACCGCTGATATGTTCTTTGAAAAATGCTATTTTTTGGAGAAAACACTGTTATAGAATACATTCACTACACAAAATATTGTTATCGATAGTCAGCTAAGTACTTCGCTTTGTTACAAGAGACATTTGGGTATGAAAGGTTTTTTGTATAGAAGCAATAGCTTCTGGGGAGAATATCCCAACAAAAAACTAAGGGAACTGATGAGAATCAGTGGCGTGATCCGAAACTATAGTCTTCCCTGCCTTACCTCTCGGCAAACAATGCCATACATTCCCCACTAATAAATAGTTGTTTTTTTATAAAAACAACAAACTGGGATTCAGCCTGACTATTTTGCAAAAACAAAATACAAATGGTATCCCAAATAAACCGCCAACACTACTGAAGTTATCGATAATTTTTACTAGAGAAAACATTGCAATCGATGATATTTTCCGGAGAAATAATTTTTTTTTTTAAGAATTTAAAGTTATTTTTAATATTTTCTGTAGGAAATGGTATTGTAGTTATCGAAATTCTATAGAAGTTCGATAACGTTCCATAGTTTTTTTTTAAATATGTAAAACTCACATTCTAAACGTTCACGTCTAACCGACTGTCTGGAAACCATCGGTACCAATTTAATACGATAAAATTTAGAGCCTCTATTAACACGATAACGATTTTCATCCTGAAAAAAAGAAAATAATCATTATCGTATCATATCCTATATCGAAGTTTAAAATTGAAAAACTTACCTTTTTAGCCAGACAATATTCCTTTTCCACGACACGTCCGATGGCATAATAAGGCATTGGTATGCTAGAATCATCACCCGCTGGGGGTAAACGTAAATTTAATGCAGCTAAACTGTCGCCATGTACAAAATATAGACTGGGCGTATCTTGGACAACCATAAATTGGCCATGGCGCATGCTCCACACAACAAAGACCAAATCACCTTTGGCACAAGATTCCAAAACAATGAATTTCTGACTAGAACCATCGGATTTTGAACGTGGCAGGGTCGATTGTTCATAAGTGGAACTGCAAAATAAACAATAAATTAAATTTGAATTATTCCGGCAAATAAGTGAAAATGTGGCCGCCACTTACCCCTTAAGAGCTGCAACAGATGTCTCCATTTCCAGACGTTTCGATTTCTCTTGATTTAGCTCCTCCTCCAGGCGACACTTGTCCCGATGCAAATAATCGATTTTCTCCTTTAGCCAACTGTTGCCCTCCTCGTTGGTTAACGCATCCAGGCGTGTTTTCAATTGGAAATTTTCCTTTGTCAACATTAGATCCTTTTCGCGCAACTGTTCCAGCTGGCGTTCCTTCTCTTCGATCATTTGCTTAAGGATACTAACATTGGCCATCACAGATTCTGAATTAAGGGGGAATATTTTCGATTGCCATATGGAACGTTCCATTTCAATGGCGGCCGTTATGGCCTTCTCTTTTTCCGCTTCGAGTTCTTGGCGCAGCTGTTTCATTTGTTGTTCATGCTGCGTCTTGTCGATGTAATTTTCCAAACTACGTTCACTGCTGGGTACCTCCAGGCTTAAATCCGACGGAGAACGTTCCATTGAAGTCATTAGCTTGAAACGTTGTCGCAGTGACTCCAATTCGGTTTTGTGGGCGTGGATGAGTTTTTCACATGCCTCCGAGACGGCCTGCTCCCTTTCGGCATCCACGGATTTCAGTTTCTCCCTTAGCTCTTCCAGTTGTGCCTCCAATGTGGCACATTTTATTTGCATTGTGGCCATTTCATTGTTCCGCTCCCTTTCTTCTTGTAGCTGCGTTTCACGCTTCTTCAACTCTTCCCGGAGCAGAAGAATGTCTCGTTCTCGTTGTTCCTCTTGGCAGCGAGCATCCTGCTCCCTGGCTTCACATTGCATGCGTATCACATTCCATTTATCATTGAGATTTTGTAATTCCGACTGCAGGTCTTCCTTTTGGGTTGTGGCCTCTTCGCGGAACGTTTGCAGATTGCTTCGAGCCAATTGGATACAATCCAAAGCCAATTTGGACATAGCTCCCAACATTGCCCGCATTCGAGTCACTTCTGCTTTGAGCGTATCGGCTGTTTCCTCGGTTAGAGTTTCGGCACTTTGCATGATGACATTTTCGGTTGCTGTACTTTTAGTGAGGCCCTGCAACAGGAAGGGACTGTCCGACATTGAAGTGGCCACCGATTGTTGTACGGCCACCACCTGTTCAAATTCCGTTTCGGTATCTGTCTCGGACTCTTCGCCACCACCAGCACCACCTCCAGGGGTGTCTTTGCGCAGCTCATTTACCCTTGGATTTAGTAGCATTTTCCCACTGGTCTGCATAGCTTTAACGCAATCGTCGGCCATTTCGGCCTGCACTTGTTTCAAACATTCCTGCATTTCGGCCTTTTCCCTCTTCTTGAGCAATTCTTCAAATCGTTGTCGCTGATGCATACCCGAACGAGAAACAAAAAAATATATCACAGGTTCCATATCGGGTAATTGTATCTGCGAGGCCATTTCGGGTAGATGGGTGGTAAGCACATCAATATCCGACTTGGTGATATTCGGCAGACGGGCATCAAACACCAGCGGATATTCATTGGCAAATGCCGGTGGCATATCGGTCATACCGGGAAATAATATGTTCAAGAAGTGACCCTCAAAGTTCATATTGAATTGTTGCCGCCTTTTCATCTCTTCACTGTGTATGCCATCGAAGTCTTCGGCCAGTTTGGAGGCCCAAAGGCGAAATTCCGAGGAGAATATTTTGCGACGCATTACCTCCGTTACGGCGGCCACATACATATTGGGCGCCTGATGTATCTGGTCGATGATGTGAATGTGCCGCTCGGCCCGGCGCAAGCAGCGTAAATAAAACAGCAGCCGATTGTCGAACTCACTCATGGCATTCTCAATGAAGACAATGCGTTTAAGGCGGGCATAGAGGTTCGAGCCCAACTCCTCCTTGGCCTTGGAAATACATCTACGATGATCGCGTATTTTTTGATGATTTTGCAGCATAACCAATAACTGAGATTGATGCGAGGCACATAGATCGGGCAGAATGGAGGCATCGCGGAGATTGATGGCTCTATTTTGATTCTGTTGGAAGGCCGTGGATAATTCACGCTGATCCTTGACCATGCTCTTTATTTTGTATTTAAACTCCTCCAATTTGCATAGGCGTTCGCCGAGACCTTTGATTTCCTTGACCTCATTCTGTTCCGCCAGCTTGATAATGTTTTGAACTTCGATTTTCAGTTTGTCATAAATTTCTTCGTTGAAGGTATTCAGGCCTTGGGCACACTCTTCGGCCATGGTGCGTAGCGCATTGCGATTTTCCTTGGAGGTGATCCATTGCAGCAGATTTAAACGGCGAGCTTGTGATGAGGTTGAGGTTTGTGAGGTCTGTGAGATACGTTCCTCATTCGAGTCGGTACCCATTTTCAGTTTTTTATTCGGTGAAGTTGATGTGGAGGAGGTTGATTTGTCGTCGGGGGGATTTTCACCAACTGCACTGCTGCCTTCCGCCGCTGCACCCTCCGATTTCTTTTCATCCTCGCTATAGGCATTAGCACCACCCACCATTAATACCGACTCCTGGGCATTTGTGGAACGCGAAAAGACATCATCATTCTCCAGAAATTCATCGAAACCATGAAAATCTGCCTCGGCCAACGGCATTAGACCCGGCAGAATTGGAATACGCGACAGCTTGGTTAAATCGTCGGCAAAATTTCTCAACAATTCCAAATATGAAGATCTCTTTTCTAAATGCTTGTCAAAAGCATCACAGAAGTTGCGAAAACGTTGACGAAACTCTTCGGTTAAGTCCTCCAAATTGGCCACCACCGCCGACCAGCCCTGCTGTTGTAAATGTTGATCGTGCACCAAACGTTCGCACAGACGTTCCTCGTCGCGGGCCAAATCATGCATACGCAGTGCTATTTGTGCCCTCTTCACCACCGTATCATAGACGGCCGGCAGTTCGAGACTACGTTCGACTTGTTCGCGCAAATCCAAGTCGGCTTCCACAGGAGGCATAACGGGTGGCAGGCGAACATCGCCCGTCAGAAACATATATATGGGGTTGGTGTCGGTGCCGGCTGAGTAATATGAGACCTGTGTGGAATGTGTTAACATTTCACCGCCACTCACCAGCAGGACTATGTTCGCTGCCGGTATGCCATGTAGGCGTTCGATGGTGTCTTTGAGATTTTCAACAGATGACAGTGCAACTGTCATATCAAAATTTAGCATGCGGCCGACATCGACATGGAATACGTACAACATTTTGTGGCCTTATGTTGCTACGTCGAGGAGAGGGGGGGTTCGAAGAAGAAGTTGTGGTGGTGGTTGGGCGTGTGTTGTGGAATTGTGAAAACAATTTTTAATTGTTTTTATAATTTAAAAAAATATATATTTATATTTGTATATTGTGCTTAAGTTTAGAAAAATATATATCCAGCTTAAATCCTCTTCTTGGTTTTCTGTTTTGTTATCGTAAAATAACAACAATAACAGCAGCAACAACACGAGTAAAGACGACGATGTCGGCGAAGACGACGATGTGAAGATGTTGTTGGTGAAGACGTGTTGACTTCCCCAAATAGAGCGCCACCCTCCTCCGCCTCCTCTCTTTTGTTTTGGTTTTTATCGTAGTAGTTGTTGTGGTAGGGATTAGTTTTGGCAGTGTTGCTTGCTTCCGTTCTCCTTCGTTTCTTATTCTCCTGTAGTCTCGTTCTCGGTTTCAAAAAAATAGAATGTTTTGCAAACAAACAAATGGAAAACTGAAAATGTAATTCTTTTATAGATGGCTTTGAAGTGCCACTTGTCCAAATTGGCGTCCCATTTAGTATAGTTTTGTTGGTTGGCTGGCTCGCTGGCTGGCTGGCTGCTTTGCTTCTTAGCCTTGAAGTATTCGGAAATGAAATTTGGAACGTGAACGTGTTAGGATTTGGGTTTTAGAAGTTTCTCTTTGTTTTCTTTTTCTTGTCGACACAGGGGAGTTGAATGCCTATAAATAAAAAGAAGAAAAGCAGGATTAGTTATATTTTGTTTTTAATTTAAAAATTTTAAGTAAAATAATTTATTTTTAGGTTATGTTTAAATATAAAAACTAAGATTATCTTAAAAAACCTGTTGGGTATAATTTTGGAATTGGAAAATAAGTAATCAGAAAATAAATGTATTTTGAGGTTAGGTTTAAATTTGAAGCTATCTCGGAATTAAAAATAAACACAGCTGTGTTAAAATGGTGAAAAGTTTATATTTTGGCCAAGTCCTATGGACCCATATCGACAAATCTCTACAAGAAGGTGGTAAAAAGTGGAGCGAAATTTTTGGAGTTCTACGTCAAAACATCGACATTTCGATTAAGGTATTTTGATTTTTAAAAAATCTTTTCTAAATTACAATTTATGAGCATGTCAAGATTATGTATTCCTCATTTTCGCCTGAAATTAAAAAAAAAGATTCATCAATGTCATAATGATTGACAGGTAGCTTTGCACATGTATGATTTTGAATCGGTATTCAAGTTGCATTTTTTTTCTTAAATAGCAGCCTATCGAAAAAACGCAATTAATGTAATATTCAATATTAATAAGAACAAAATATTGGAATTTGTACCACCACTTCTAGTTGTTTGTAGTTTTTAGAATTATAGGCTAGACGACTGACTATTATCTCATTTGTGATTTTTTCTCGAGATTATTTTTTTTTATTACAATAACCACCTAAACGAAGTGAAAACAAATAGTTATTTACATATTATTATTATGCGAAATAATAATGAAAGTAAACTATTAAAAATAATAAAAACAAAACAATAAACAGTAATGTCGGGATATTTGTAAATCGTGGGAAAAATGATCATACAAAGCAAAAAATAAATACTATGTTCAGAATATGCCTTCTAAATGTACCTATTATTAAAATAATATATAGTTCTCAGTCAGCTGATATTTGTATACGTATACAAACACATTGCATTGATTTTCATGATCATGATTGATTTTTGATTATCATGTGGCCATTTTTGCAGACATAAAGATTATTTCTATTTAATTTTAAAGCATTTCAATTTTGGTACTTTAGGTTAAAAATTAGCAAATAAATTAGATTCTAGTATAAACATGTTGTATCTATTTTCAGTGTATTGTGACTGTTGTTACAGCTGATCGCCTAAATATAATCACGACTAACTGAACGTACTCCATTGGAAATACAAAGAAACACTAGCGACTGTTATTGCAGATTTTTCTCGAACAGTGATAGATATTACCTGAAGATACATTATTAGTCAATATTAGAAATGGAGCAAAAATAGAACATTCTTAAGGCATTTTAAATTTGGTACTTTAGGTAGAAAATTAGCAAATATGTAAATTAAGGTATGCATATTATCACGATATAAGTTCTGGTGTAAACGCGTTTTAAATACTTTGAGTTGACTGTAACTGTTATTAAGGCTGATCGTCTAAGTGTAATAGCGTCTAACTGAACATACCCTATTGAAACTAATAAGAAGCAGCGGTTTCTCCAACAGTGATAGTTACAAACTGAACATACCTTATTCGAAAACAACGATAAAAATACTGGCAAAATACATGACTAATGAGTATTATAAAAAAAACTTGTTAATATTTATTGAACATTATTTTCGATATTTTAATTATATTTATTGTATAGAAATGACATTAAAATATAATTTATAATATATTATAATAATAGCTTTTTCTTCTTATACTTTAACCCTGTCCTATTGACTGTTGCTGTCATTACATCTGTTACTGTGTGAGATAGTTACTAACTGAACATACCCCATTAGAAGAAATAAGAATAATTAACATCAATAATGCCATATTTCGAACAAAATCATTCTTCAACAGTGATAGTTACTAACTGAACATACCTTATTAGAAAACATAAATAAAAAACGTGAAAGAGATTGAGTATTATAAAAATGTTTATTTAATATTAATAAATAAATAAATATTTATTTAATATTATTTTTGATATATAATTATATTTATTGTATAGAAATTAAATTATAGGGGAGAGGGGGGCACCTTTGAACACTTTTTGCTTTCAAGCCTTATAAAATTTTTTATTTTATAATTTTTAGTTTCTTATAAATTTTAACTAATAGGTACATATGTATCCTTTAAAATGAATATACATATGACATACTATGAGCTTGATAAATATATTTTATTACTGTTTTAATGGACGAACTCAAAGTGTTCAAAACTGCCCCCCCCCAGCGGGACAGCTTTGAACAGGGGTTGGCATTTTTGAACGACATGGTTTTTTACTGTGTTTATGTTCAAATATGTATGTATTTTATTCATACATATCAGACATGCATTAATTCATTAAAAAATATATAAAAAATATATAAAAAATTTTCAAAATTTAAAAAAAATTAAATCAAATGTTATTAAAATATAAAATGACTTAAAAACAAAAATTAATATGGTGAAAAATACAGTTAATTCCGTAATCTTATTAGCCTATTTGAAATTTTGAGAAATCGAATCCAAAAGTTAAAAAATCATTTTTTTCTCGAGTTTAATGGGCATGTTTAAAGGTGCCCCACCCATGGCATTTTACGGAAATTTAAAATAACTTTTTTTGTAATAAATATATATGAAAGAAATTACATTAGTTATGTTTGAAATGATTGTTGGAATGCAAAAAATTAGTTTGACGAAAGAAAACTATCACAGAATTCTTCCTGCGCACTTAAAACCAAATGAATAAAAGTTTACAATGACACTGAGAAAACATGGTCACCCATGCACAATTTTTCGACAAGTGAAAAAACAAGCCAAAGTGGTTTCAGCATATAGAGAACAAGATTGCCATATACAAAAATGTGGTTGCGGGTCGGAAAAATATTAAACCAAGATTTTATGAGCGCTGTTCAAAGGTGCCCCACGTTCAAAGGTGCCCCCCTCTCCCCTAATATATAATAGTTTTTATCTTCTTTTTTTGTTCTTTTGTTAAACCTGTCCTATTGAACTGTTGCTGTCATTGCAGCTGTTCCTCTGTGTGAGATAGTCACTAACTGAACATACCCCATTAATACAAACAAGAAAAAATAGCACCAAATTTGCTATATTTCGAATAAAATAATGTCAAGTTCATCAAATAAAATATCCCCAAAATAATATCATTGCATAAACTTAGCTTTCACTGTAAATAAATAAAAGAAAACACAAAAAAACTATAAACAAATAATTACTGATAACACTGAACACACTCACTCAGCCAGTTAATAAAGATGCATACAGACTGGCGACGACGACGACGACGACGCCGACGCCGATGACTTACAATGAAAGTTAAAGAACAATAGAAATAACAATAAAAAAGCCAAAACAATCTGAAATTTTATAACGTCATTTGTTTGTCTGAAGGTAAACACATATTTAAAACAAAACAAAAATAAATGTTGTTGATAAATGTTTAATATAGTCGCCCAGACATATGGGTACTTTTGTTGTTGTTTTGAAACTACTATAATTTAGGAACGTGTTTTTAAGCTTTTCAGACACTTGCTCTCAAATTTTTAGAAAAAAAATAAAAACAATAATATTAGCAATGACATTAGCAAAACAATGGAAGTGAACTTATTGCAAAGTTATCAAAATAACAATAAAAGAGTGAGAGGAAGGAGAGAGTGACAACACATCAATGAATGCATGTATTCGTTAGAACAGTGATGTCAATGTGTGGTAAAGTTTAAGGTAATTTAATTTGGGGGAATGATTTGACATATTATGTTAAATATTTATACGAATAACAAGGTTGCAAGATGGAAAATCATCTGTTTTCCAACTTCACTGCTATAATGAATGTAATCCACACACGTAAGCAAGTTACACGTTATAGCGTGTTTAGACTATGCCCTGTAAATTGACCCGATTTATAAATTGAGGATCTTAACGCTAGCTGTTTAGACTATTATTGAAGTGATATAAAGTTGACAGTCCAGTTGATATTTGTTTACGTATGAATTGCATAATTTCTGTGGGCTTATTTGTTGTTGTAATTTTCTATTCAATTTTTAAAATAATAATATTTTAAATTCTAATGTAAATACAAGACACCTAATTTAATACATTTGCTACTTTAAACAAAAAGCGTCCCATTTGTCGGTACAAAAAACAGTGCTGTATTTGAAATTAGCACAGAATTGCGAGCAAATCATTAATTAGTTAATCATTTATTATATTAAACGAAATGTTAATAAACAGCTATTGTTAATTATTCACTATATATTTATTTCTTAAAG